AGGGATTTAAAAACAAAAAGTAACATTTTGAAATGGATCCTGTAGGAGACAGGAAGCCAATGGAGAGAGGCCAGAACCGGGGTTATGTGGTGGTGGTGAGAGGGACCGGTGCTTGGCAGCGTCGCCTCTGTCAGTGCGCCATGGGGCAGCTGTGGCTACATCGTAGCTCATCCCCACCAGCGTGTGAATGTGTGTGTGAATGGCTGAACGATACCCTGTGTGAAGCACTTCAGAGCCCTCTGACACTGAAGCGCTACACAAGTGCGAGTCATTTATCATTTATTCATCATTTAACTCCGCTGCCATTGTTATAGTTCCCTCATAAAGTCCTGAAGTCCTTTCTGCATTGTGCTCCTGTGCTACTCCTGTCCCGGTAAATCTGACTCAGTTTCTCCAGCTGGTGAGAAAAGCCACTGAATCCTTCTAGAAGAGCCTCTGTGCAGTTTTTTCCCCCTTCCAGCACAGCAGTTGGTTCCATATGTCGGTTTTTAATCATCAGCATCATGATGTGATATTTGTTCCAGGGCATGCTGCAGCCCGTATGGAGTCAGCAGCGTAATCACAGATTGCTGTGAGGTCATGGATGGACACCTATTAGTTTTGCATGTCACGGATTAACATCCACAAAACACCGAGTCAGTTTCTGGCGACCCCTTGCTGAGGGGTGTTTACAGACGCTCCGGCTGTCTGACAGCCGCGGCTCCACTCGCTGTTCCTCAGCAACAGAAGCAGCAGTTTGTTTCTGTGGTTCACATCCACAGTAACAAGCACCTAGTGTTATATTTAGCAGGGGTTGTATCACGCTGTTATGAGTAAACACAATGATTTGGCGAGGTTACTGAGCAGATAAAAGGACCGTCAGCTTGCTTATTTTTTATTTTTCCACCGTATTCTCTGACATCAGAGATCTTTTGTTGCCAAGTACGATCACACACTCGGGGAATTTTCTTCCAGCTTTTGTTGCAGTTACCACAACAACTTCAGCCAAGGTGTCAGTGTAAATTGTACGGCAGAAGGAAAACATGCAGAATGCATCTTTACAGTGAGAGAAAACTGCCAACAGTTTGATAACTACAAAAATCTTCATCGTGAGCCGCTTCATTTGATCAGCTAGTTAGCCCTTATGTAAAAATGTCGGTTTAGGTTCAGTAAATCTGATGAAGTGTTTTTATTTTCTGTATCTTCTTATGAAAGGGTTAGGAAAAGAACACCCCGTTTAAAGAGCAAGTCACCCCCAAACCAAGTTTTTGTTCTGACAAACTATATAAATGCTTGTCTAATCGTGCTGCAGACACGTGTAGTCAATAGTTTTGCACTTTAGTGCATTTTAGTTAAAATTTTAATTCCTAAAACTGTCAGTGTTGTGCCGTTGTCAGGTAAAAACTCTGCACTGCATTTGAATTTAAATCTGCCATCGCTATTGGCTAAGAAGTACACAGTGACGTTAGATGGTACCATATGATGTCACAATGTTGTTGTGAGCCTGTGTGTGTGTGTATTTGTTAGCGGTTCCGCCCTCTCGGTCTGCCAGGCAACAGCATTTGTTGCATTTTTCAAACATGATGTCAGAGCGGAGTAAGTTATAGGGGGTGACTTGCTCTTTAAGAGAATGGACACAACAGAGGGGGACGGTTGGATGTGTCGAGTTGCAGATGGACACATACACAGGGGAGGTTGAAGCTCATTTAAAGAAGGAAAAAGGTGCCTCAGAGAAAAAAATCTCCCAAAAGTGGTTTTACACACCAGTCATCGTGATGCTGAAAAAACGTCCTGAGAGACATTTGGAACAAGGGAACTTCTTTTAATGGGTTCGATGTTGGTCCAGGACAAATGGCGTCTTTGTAAATGAGAAAATGGAGCTTCTGGAATTGTCACGTTGATGCAAGAGTTCAGTGGTTTAACACATTTACCAATCAACTCACCCCCCTGCTGTAGCAACAATGGTGCGGGATCTAGAGAGGAGTTTGTGGATGGTTACAGGTTGTGACGGGGAACAATCATTGCTGACCTCCTTAACGTCCACCAACACACAATCACTTTATTTCTTAAGGCAGTTTAACATTTTTACACTGAAAAAAGTTAATGATATTATTTAATTGACCTTTCATCGAGCTGGTTTTAACTTTTAGTCCCACAGCTTGGTATGGTCTTTGGATAACAAGGCCCATCTGGCCAGGATACTCATAATGGCTAGCAAAATAATTGGGGTTCAACAGTGTCCACATGTCTGTCTCACAGTCAGAAGAGACAGCTGTCTAGGAAGGTAAACACCTTTCTAGTACGTAGAAATCTCCCTCATTTCAGGGAGCAGGTACGGGCTGCCAGCAACACAGCGTAATGTGAATATTTGCACCTCCTGCCGTAATGAGTGCTCTGGCCAATTTTGGGGGGTTGCTATTGTGATTATACAGTATATATATATATATATGCATAAAATACACACACACACATATACGTGTATATATATATATATATATATATATATATATATATATATATATATATATAGAGAGAGAGAGAGAGAGAGAGAGAGAGAGAGAGAGAGAGAGAGAGTGAGAGAGAGAGAGAGAGAGAGACGGTAAAAGCGGTCGATCTACGTTCCTACTCTCACCTATGGTCATGAGCTTTGGGTAGTGACTGAAAAAGTAGATCACGGATACAAGAGGCTGAAATGAGTTTTCTCCGAAGAGTGGCTGGGCTCTCCCCTGGAGATAGAGTGAGAAGCTCGGTCATCCAGGAGGGGCTCGGAGTAGATCCGCTGCTCCTCCACATCGAGAGGAGCCAGTTGAGGTGGCTCGGGCATCTGGTCAGTATGCCTCCTGGACGCCTCCCTGGTGAGGTTTTCTGGGCACATCCAACCGGGAGGAGACCTAAAGGTAGACCCAGGACACGGTGGAGGGACTATGTCTCTCACCTGGCCAGGGAACACCTTGGGATTCCCCTGGAAGAGCTGGCCCAAGTGGCTGGGGAAAGGGAAGTCTGGGCCTCTCGACTTAGGATACTGCCCTCGCGACCCGACTCCGGATAAGTGGATGAAAATGGATGGATGGATGGATTTGTCAAGGCTTCTACATCGTTTTTATTGTTTTTCCTTTAACTTGCTGCTGGTTCTGACAAAATAATTAAAAACATTTAATTTGAAATCCTACAGCATTTCCTTACGTATACACACAGGTACAAAAGAAATATGCTGCTTTCAGGATTAGACTAGCATACAAAATGCATAATTCATTTCCATCAGCAATAATGAACATTTTTTCTGAAATGTTCCTTTTTACTTCTGAGATCAGGTTGCTTAGTAACTTAACTGAAGTACCACAGATTTTAGATGTAACACAGATTGTATAAATGTATGTTGTGGCCATATTCCATCTCCTTTCTGATATATCTATCTCTTCTATTTGTCCAGCAAAATGCATTTAGTTTGAAGAGATCCGTCAGTTTTCTTTCAGGAATTATAACCAGTTTATTCTAAGGAGCTTGGCAAACCCTAAAACTTGATAGACTAAACCCATTTATTCTAATTCGTGTACACAACAGGAATTAATCATAAAAGTCAGATTGGTGAAATTTGTATGTCTCTAATATACCATCACATTTCTGCTCATACTCTGCTTCACATGAAACATCTTTACAAAAGTAAAACATAATGTCTCAATCCATTCTCTATGCAATGTACAGTATATGTATATATAATATAAATAAGTTAGTCGCTACGATGCCTGACATGAGCTTCCATGCTGTGGAGAGACTGGTCAAATAATACTGGCCAATAGTTGGATGGGGCTGTATTTTATCTATCTATCTATCTATCTATCTATCTATCTATCTATCTATCTATCTATCTATCTATCTATCTATCTATCTATCTATCTATCTATCTATCTATCTATCTATCTATCTATCTATCTATCTATCTATCCATCCATCCATCCATCCATCCATCCATCCATCCATCCATCCATCCATCCATCCATCCATCCATCCATCCATCCATCCATCTATCTATCTATCTATCTATCTATCTATCTATCTATCTATCTATCTATCTATCTATCTATCTATCTATCTATCTATCTATCTATCTATCTATCTATCTATCTATCTATCTATCTATCTATCTATCTATCTATCTATCTATCTATCTATATCTATATATGTGGACACTGTTGAACATACAGATATGTTTATTTTTTATTTTTTTTACACATTATTTTAATTCCTGATCCACGTTTATTGAACAAGTTTCCTTAGAGGACTCCGGTCTGGTACATTGTGAAAGAAAAGGGATGAAATGGACCAAAATAATGTACAGTGCCTGGAGCAAACTGGGCTGGAGCTCATTCTGAACTGAACCTGTAACAGACTTTCCTGCCTATACATCAAGTTTCACTTGAGACGTCATTCAGATTTTAAACTGATGCACAAAGAGGTTTCATCCTTGGACATAACCATAAGCCACAAACCCTTTTATGTCAAATTCATGATTTAATTTATTTCCCCAATCAATCAGTCAGTCAGTGAATCTATCTATCTATCTATCTATCTATCTATCTATCTATCTATCTATCTATCTATCTATCTATCTATCTATCTATCTATCTATCTATCTATCTATCTATCTATCTATCTATCTATCTATCTATCTATCTATCTATCTGTCTGTCTGTCTGTCTGTCTGTCTGTCGGTCTGTCTGTCTGTCTGTCTGTCTGTCTGTTACAGCTACATGTCAATAGCTACATTTAGCATGAGTAGATCTTGCTAGCATGAAAACTCTATGAAAATCAAATGAACTCATTACAAACACATTTCTCGGTGGTGCAGTGATAAATAAACTATCATAAACGTCTAATGTTTCAGTGTGTGCCTACTTTGTGCATTTAAAGGAAGCTGAAACGGTAACAAATCGTTTTTTTTTATTATCTCACAGCAAAGCTAATGCCTGGCTGGACACAGCTAACCCCGTTGTCATGGCAACATCTGGACAGCGCTGAGCGCTCCTCTGTGTACGTCACGTGAGTTAGACACAGAACAGTGTCGAAGTCGTTTTAAACTGCTAGTTAAAACGATTATCTCCCGCCACTTCTGTTTAGTTACTCTATTCCAGTGTTGGTTGGTTCATTTCACATAATGACCGAGCAGACAAGCACCGCAGCCGGAAAATGTTTTCCGCATTACTTGGTTGAAGAGGTAAGGTTTTAGCTAGGTTAGCCCAGCCGAGTGTTAGCTATCTAACGATCAAAAACGCTTCAATAACAATCTGAAGATGACAACGTCAGCTTTAAACTCAGAGTTGTATCAGCTGCACTGTTAACTCTTTTACTGAAACTCTTTGGTCAAAGTTTTAAATCATCTTTATGAGTTACCAAAAAAGCTTCATTTCAGCCCTCAGCCTACATGAAATGGTTAAGCTGAACTTTATTTCGCAGGTATATTAAACAAAATACTATCAGATATCAAATCACTGATAAAACTACTCTTTAAAAAAGATTTGAACACACAAAATTAAAAGTTGTAAGTAGTTTTTTCATAGAAAACTATAAAGTACCACCAGTTTTGGTGTGTATTTGACTACGGTAATTGGTTTCTCTGTTTACAGTTTATTTTTGTTTAATTAAATAAAGATTTCATGATATCTGTTTTTCCTGTAATATTGAATCTCTGGAATCGAACTGCACACCTTCAGACCAGTGGCTCCTAAATGAATGGCTCCTATCCTTTATGAGCTGCACCCTTAAAGGGAAAATTCCTTTTATGAATAACCGAATGACATTTTCTAACAGGTTTTGTACTTTTATAAATCCTTCAGAGAGCAGTTGGAGAGACGGGGAGGTCGCACGGGGTCAAAGACCTAATTACAGAAAACCACAATGTTAAAATGGAAACTGCTACCACATACGGAGCAACTTATGTCTCTCCAGAAAAGTTTCTCCCAGCATTCGAGCTGAGGGGTAGGTATCTTTATTTCATCTGATGGAATTGGGAGGCATTTAGGGGTTGAGAAGTGTTTTAAAACCACTCTGTTCACGTGTAGGAGCTTATAGGAGACCAGATAAACACTGATGACTGCTGTGACCTCCATTTATTTAGTGAAAATCTTCTTTAGTGTGATTTGCCACGCTCTCACAGTTCATCTTTTATGTTTCTGTGGTACAGGCACCAGAAGAGAGCTTTTGGAAAGACGTCTCTCTCAGAAGATAAGGTAAGCCAACCGCGAGCTGTCTTTTGATGCTAAATAAAACGATTTCTGGATGTGTTTTGTTTATGGAAACCAAGCCCCCACAATGCAGCTCAAAAATTGAGGCCAACCCGGAAGTACCAAAAATTGCAGTTCCACCCTCATCCACTAGGGGCTGGTGTCAGAAACGAGCAAATCCTCATTGACTCCCATGTTAAAAATACCAATTTCACAGCAGAAATAAACATGTTTACAGCCTGGTACCAAAACATGTTTTAGGTTTAAATGATCTAGTTTACATTCATGACAACTCTGAGGGGGGTGAATGGTTTTCTCACTCTTCTGTTTAAGTGTATTAAAAGCCTAAAATTCTGTATAATTAATGAGCATCAGACCCACGTGACCACAGAGCTAGCTCCGTGGAAAGGCCTCAGTAGAGCCTCGGTCTGGCCTGGAAACCGCTCCGGGATTTTGAGTCTCTGTGTTTGTGTATTCTTGTTTGGATATTATTTGTGCAATTGTTGGACAAAATGACTTGCTGTGGCATTAATTGCACTAATAGAGCGTCCAAGGAGTCTCCACTTCATTTTTTTTGGTAAGTAAAATTATATTTATGTATTTTAGGTCACTGCCAAGCTGAGCTTAGATTTTAACATGTACTGTTTAACCATGAAATTTAAATGTAATAGGATAAAACCAAGTGCATTTAACATAATGCTGCACTTTAGAAAATGGGTTGAAATATAACATGTTGGTGGAGCTGGGTTCCCACTATCGGCTTGTGGAGCTCTCGGGAGACCTCTGTGTTCCACCCGGTTCTACCCAGCGGTCAGCCCGGCGTATCTCTGACTCAGAAGCTCTGGTGTTGTGCACAGTTAACTCCAGTTGTAGCTAGGTTGCTACCTCCGTTAGCTTAGCTCCCACCTCCGCGTTAGCTTTGGATTAGCTTCAGGTTAGCTTGTAGCTAGTTCGACCGGGTGCCGTCACTCGATCCCAGCCTTACAGCCCCACCCTCAGCTCCTCCTCTCTTCCCTTTTGTGGAATTGTCTGGGCTTGACGGAACCTGTGACACGGTCAAAATGGCGGTGGTGGCCACCTCCCATTTTGGCACAAAAACGTGTTTTTGGAGCCTATTGAAATGAAGTGTCCAGTATATGTCGATGATGGAAACCCAGATGTCTGCCTGATCCGTCTGCAGAGGGACACGTTGGAGGAAACTGGTGTCTGGGTTTGTTTTGTTGTAATACCTTTAAATCAGATTTTATCATGTTATTTTACATGGAAGCCAGTCGTTTTAATGGGGTTATAAAGTCTGTTCCCACAAGTTAGGTGCTTGTAAAGAAGCATTGTCAGACCAATACCAGTCGGGTGACCCTAATCCCACAGTCTTCAGCTGTTTACTAAATGTCTGTGATTTTTACAAGCACACGTTAATGCCACATGATTCCTGGCAGGCTACGCTTTAGCAGAGAGCTCTGAGGGATTTTCTAGGCCCACTGGTTGTTTATGTTAAACAGTGTTTTGTAGTAAGATGTAGCCAGATGGAAACACACAGGGCTTTTATTTTGATGGTTTCATGTAAATAAATCACACCTCAGTACGTTGTGACTCATTGTTCCTTCAGTGAGGTGTAATCACTGAGCTGCTTTGCTTCTTGAGATTATATAATCTGGTGTAAGTCATTAAACGTTGTGCTCTTTACCCCTCAGATGTCAGTGGTTCACCCACACAGTTGTTTGGCCTTGATGGACTTCTCGGCTCTTCTGTGTGGGAATCAAAGCTGCAGACTTGAACCCTGGGCTACAGCCTAAACATCTACTGTTTCCTGTGTGCAGCAGTTTACATAAACACATCTTCATTTCACTCCTCTGCTGATTCTTCACGCGTCTCGTTATGCTACATGCAGCCAGTATTAAACTCGCAGTGGCCACGTTCTTAGGTAGACATTCCTATACGTAGTTGGAAAGTCTTTAACTGTCAAAGCTGTTTTAAGTCTTTATGCCATGGATCCAACGAGGTGTTGGAAACCTTCCCCAGAGGTTCTGGTCCATTCTGACAAGCAGCATCAGCTCCATCCATCCAGGGACAGCAGTAGCTCAGGAGGAAGAGCGGGTTGTCCAGTAATCAGAAGGTTGCATGTTTGATCCCGGCTCTGGACAGAGAATACTGCTGTTGTGTCCTTGGGCAAGACACTTAACCCGCCTTGCCTGCTGGTGGTGGTCAGTTCATGCCAGGTATCGCCTCTGTCCGTGCGCTCCAAGGGAGCTGTAGCTACATTGTAGCTCATCGCCACCAGCGTGTGAATGTGTGAATGACCGATTGAGTTATGAAGCATCTTGGGGGGTTATAGAACCCTACGAAGGCGCTATACACATACAGGACATTTACCATCCAAGATGAGAAGCTCCGGTTCCTCCACATCCCAAAGGTTCTGGACTGGACTGAGATCTGGTGACTGTGGAGGCCGTTGGGAGTCCAGTGAACTCATGGTCATGTTCTAGAAACCAGTTAGAGATGATCTGAGCTTTATGACACGGTGCATGATCCTGCTGGAAGTAGCATCAGAAGACGGGTCCATGTGGTCATAAAGAGCTGGACATGACCAGCAACAACGCTCAGGTAGGCTGTGGGGTTTAGACCAGGCTCAGGTACTGAGGGGTCCACAGTGGGACAAGAACACCCCCCACCAGCAGAGCTGATGTGGGACAGAAGTTCAGGCAGGGAACCCAGAGCAGACTATCAGCTTTCTGCTGTTTCTCTGTTGGAGCGGGGTGGAGGAGTGGGTCAGTTCAGCTGTCAGCCACTGACAAACGTCCTGCTGCTCATTCATGACCGTACCTGGACCCTGATCAGAATTTAGTGTTAACATGCAGCTGAACAGGTGTACCTAATAAAGTGGTTAGTGACTGTAGAAAGATTTGAATTAGGAAAGAAATTTCCTCTGTTTATGATCGACCTAAACGATGAATAAAAACACTGCAAAAAACTATTTCTGCTAATCCATTTGTGGATAACGAATCCAGCGTTGTCCGGCAACATAAATCCAAAAACAACATGACAGAAAAATGAAAACAGGCCTGGATGAGAAGCATCAAATAAATGATGTAGCGTCATTTACCAACAGCTTCTACACTGAAGGCACTTAAATCAGAACAGGTGTGACGTCTGGTGAGAGATCAGGAGGAACAAAGATGAGCTCAGATGAAGGAACCTTAACTAGAACATTAAACCAGCTTCTTGTTTCCACAGAGAGGAGGTTCTGGCAGAACTCGAACTAGCACCCCCTCCCACAACAGAGTTCCTCTCCACAACCCAGAGGGACTTCTGTGCCCAAGGGTTTGTTCCCTGCAGACTGCGAACAGCAAAAGTACGTAAAGAAGAAACGTGTGACATCACCTCTGTTTTGCATTTCATTTAAAAAATATTGCTGCTTGAATTTAACGTCAAACATCATCAGACTGTCACAAATACATTCAAGATGGACCATTTTCATATGATTACGATGGCGTCACTTCCGTCTAACGGAGATGGAAGTGACGCCATCGTCGGAGGTGCTCTGAGGAAGGCTGCAGTGTTAGCTGAAACTTGCCAGCTTGAAAGGTTAAAAACAAATCTTTACTACGGTGTGTTTAGACAAGAACCAAGCAGCGGAACAGGAACGCTGTTATTTGATGGCAAAGTGGCTAGCCGACATGCCGGAGTGTGCTTCCAGCACGTCTCTTGTATGTTTTAGAGCTTTCCCTGCTTGTACGCAGCTGATGTGCTGAACCACTCCTGTAGAAACTAATGAAGGAGACATTTCAGCCGTTAGATTAAGGCTTTAAAAACACGAGCACACAGCGAGGAGGAGAGTACAACAGTTCGTTTTTACGACAGCGACTTAAAACGGACACTCGGGGGTGCTAAAAGCGTAGCCTGGCCCGCCAGACTCCTCCTCTGTTTAATTCTGCACAGAGAAAGGGTCTGGGAACTCCCCTATTCAAATAGCCACACCCACTGATAATTCTAACTGAGCCAATCAGCGCTGAGTATCGTACGTCACACGCCATAACGCAGAGTTTGTCATAAACATGGCGACTGAAGCGGAGTTCGCTGCGGCTCATTCCTCTGGTCTAAATGACTTGAATGTCTTTAAAACAACGAGTAGAAGTGCTAAAAGCATTTCTTCTAAAAAAAAAATAAGATGTTCGCGCCGTCGCCAGACGCCATTTTTTACCACAGCTAAAAAACTACAGCGTCGCGCGGTACAGTCTGCATTTCCATCTTTTTTCTGATTGGTTATTTTTGAGCTGCCTAATCCCGCCCCTCATGTGCCGCTCTGCCTGTGAGTTACCAGACTTAGAGGTCGAGTCTGGCAGGCCCGGCTGCTAAAAATACGCCAAATCTCCCTCAGCGTGCCTTTAACAGTCCTGAAGCACTCAGATGGTGTACGGTAGAAACAGACAGAATCAGACGTTTGATGACATTCACATAACACCGTGTTCTTATCTCGCTGTCAGGATCGTGACTATAAAACCGAGCAGGCCATAACATTCTGGAGCCAAAACTGCCAGAAGGTTCAGGTCTGTTCTAATTTTAAGTCCTTTTTGTTCTGATTTATTTTATTAGTTTCTAAGACCATTTTTATTATCCCGAGTTTGTGTTCATCATTTTTTTCTTTAATAAAACATTAAAACACTTATCATAATTTACTATGTTTTTTGCTCTTTTTCATTTATTTATAGGGCGTAACACCCATCAGGAACCCAAAGGCACCTTTTAAGAAGTCAACCCTGTTCAGCAAACCCATCAGTGAACAACTGGATGACTTTTAGGGTAGCAGGGATTTTCCTGGCTCAAACTGAGGCAGAGGTGGTACCATCCTGACCGTGCGCCAGCACATGCACACTCTGTGTATTCAACTGCCTCACCGTTTTAAAGGCAAATATTATGAAAGGCTCAATAATATGCATTAGATTAGTGTTTAGTTCTTTTTTCCATCTGATATTTGTAGTTAAAATATTTTTAAATATTTGACCTACATTTCAGTAACATTTTAGGTTTGTATTAATAACACTCATCTTAGTCTAAATGACGTAAATATATACAGTAAAATATAATGCATTTCATTAACATGCATTTGTGTTGGAAATGGTAATAACATTTATTTTCTGCTGCTAACAATGTAATGATGGCACGTCTGTTATGTACGGGTTGGCAATAATCCAGTTTAAGTTATGTTCAAAGATAGAAGCGTTTGTGAATTATATACTACAACGGCTTGCCGTACAATGTGTAATGTGACTCGTACCTGCAGCGGTTCTGATCCGTAGCGCTGCAGGATGCAGAATAAACTGGATGGTGCGGACTTTTCATCCACTTGTTGAGTTTAGTCTTTCTTAGTTTTACGATCATCGTGTTTTTCTGTGCGCCACTTGATCGTGAGACTGCTACCCGTTAGCTTTAGCATTAGCCAATCTGTGCGTAGCTGCACTTTTGATCCCAAACTTTGGACCGGTTCTGCCTTTGCTGGTTCCTTTATTTTCCTCCACTGCATCCAGATGACCACACTGTGCGCCAGTAAAAAGCATTTTTCTTACATGTAACTTACTTTTGTTCAATAAAGTTCTGGGAAAATAGTAAATCAAAGATGTTGCACCCGTGCTACGTTTAAAAATAGACAGACACGCACAGAAAGTTTATTTCGACGCGCTGTACAGCCCTGCTCTGATATTGAAGAGCCTGGGGGGAAATCGGGACGTCAATAGCACCAACCATAGATATGTACCAACCAGCGAGAAAAGCAGTTTTTGATCTTTTTCTGCAGCAGTTTTAGTGCTTTTCGGTGCACCGCCGCTGATACAGCGCCCTCGTAGTGGTGCAACGCTGCAACTGCAGTTAAAATAACATCCATGTAGCTGGGGGCTGAGTGAAATCAAGCTGGGGTGGCACAAAATTAGCTGGAGGCGGCCGGCACGCTAATTTGAACGCAGGAAAAACCCTGATTTTATTCCCCAAAGGATGACAGAGTATGACTTCATTACCAGATTTCCTTAACCAGGTCAGCCACTGAATTTATTAACTTCATGGTATTTACCTGTCATCCAACAGCTGTGTGCTGACTTCAGTTCTCTGACTTTTTTAAACCTTTGCGATCTTAGAATCCATAAACTAGGAACCTGTATGGTTCTGCTTGATGGTAGAGAAAATATCAAATGAAGTTTCAGACATCCTGCCACCATCGAAACAAACAACTTAATAAAACACAGAACATGGCTCGTGTTTAACACAGCTGAGATGAATCACTTCAAACCTGTTTTTGGATGGGTTTCGTCAATGCCGACTCGAAGAAGTAATGCTGCCAATAAACACCATGTGTTAAATAAACCATCAGTGCTTTCAGGTTGTCATGGTGCCTGCCACATAAATGGGCAGGCACCTATTGTTAAGGCCCTCTAAAAGGTTCTCTTTATGTATTTACTCTTCCATTAATGCGTCTCGAGTGGAAGCGTGCACCAACACACATCATACATCAAGTATACCGGCTTGGTTGGGGGGTGTTCGGTTCTCTTTGTTGGCATTTCAAGTTACAGAGTTATCGATACGCACTGACCAAGAAATGAGATTCAGTTTTTAAATGGGTTACGAGACATTGAGCTCTAACATATTGATAAAGCCTTTTAATATATAACTCAATTCAAGTTTGTTCATAAAGCGTCATCTCAAGGCACTTCACACACTAAGCAATCCAGTACAGGTCAGGGGTCTCATTTATCAAACAGGGCGTCGAATCCTTACTAAAACCGTACTTAAGCTCAGCAAAACAAATGTACTTACGCCAAGTAGGTGTGTGATCTATCAAACATGGAGTACGCACAGCTGCACGCAATCTAAACTATGTAGAATGGTTCTCAGCTGCATTTTAGTCACATCCTGCCCTCGCCACGCCCACGTACTGCCATAAATAGTCAATGCAAAGTGCCTTGTGGATCTCATGCATATACATAAGCCGGCTGTTGCAGCGCTCTGCCAATGACATGGCGACCGTAGATCAAGGCAGATCAAGGAAGCTCAATTTCACAGAAGCAGAAGTTGAGGTACCTGTGGGTGAGGTGGAGAAATGAAAGGAAGTGCCTTTGCAAAACAAATAAGAGAAAATCCACTGAGTGGCACAGCGTTGCTGAAGCCGTCAATGCTGAGTTCTTCAGAGAGATCTGTGGCGGATATAAAAAAATGATCCGATCAGGATTCGATTCCCCAGACTCCCGGGTTAAAGTCATGCGCGCTAACCAGTCAGCCAAACCGAGATCCCCCCTGTACAGGTAGCCAGGGCGCATGATCAATCGGGTCACAGAGACAGGACACACACTGTCACAGACGCATGATGTTCTGTCTCAATCTGCCCCCCTGCTGGTATTCTGCATTCCCTATTCTGGCTTCAGGCTGTGTGTGTGTGTGCGGGTGGGGGGGGGGGGGGGGGGGGGGTCTTGTTCTGTGTGAAAATGAAGCAGTACAAGTGATAATGACTACGTTTACATGCAGCCAATATCCGGGTTATGATCGGGTTAAGGTCGGTATTCGGGTTTCTGAGTTGATCAGAATAACCCGTTTACAAGCATAAATAGAAAGAGTTACCCCTAACGTGCATAACCCGATTTAAATGCGGACGTTGGGGTAGCGTCAGGACGTATGGACTACGTCAAGACACAATATGCGTCATATTTCGCTGTCTCTGTACTTTTGGCCGTCAACAAAAGACATAATGTTCATACTTTCCACCAGACCGATGAAGGCAGAGGTTTCCTCGTCACTCCAAAAGTGTGGTGCTGTGCCGCGACTCGCCATGTTGCTCCCAACTTGTTGTTTACTTCCGGTGTTCTGGCGCTTACAAGACGTCTCGCTACTCAAAAGACCAAGATTCCTTGCGAACAGAGCATGTGCAGAACACTCGCTTGGATGGGATATCCCGATATGCGTTTACACGACCAAACATTCGGGTTAGAAAAGGGTTACCCCAGGTGTAGTAACCGGGTTTTAAAAACCCGGTTATGAGCATATCCGGGTTTTTGGTGGTGTTTACATGGACCTGCGGAACCGGGTTATTGTGAATATTCGAGTTTTAAAAGGGTTACTGGCTGCATGTAAACACACTGATTGCTGCAGGGTTTCATAATTGCATCTTCTCAGCAGCAGCACTGCAGGTGCTCTCCATGTCCAGCATGTGTGTAAGCCAGGTCCTTAGTCAACTTAAAGTTGCGCACATTTTTCTGCGATGTTTTCTTTCATAAATCCCAAAGTTTGTGTGGAAAGTTGCTTACGCAGTTTTCCGACCCCGTTTTGTGCGTAAGCAAGCTTGATAAACGAGGCCCCTGGTCATTAAGCCATTCAGTAAAATGTTTCCTATATGAGGAACCCAACACGTTGCATCAAGTCGCTGACTAGTGTCAGAGTCTTTACAGCAATCCTCATACTAAGCAAGCATATAGCGACAGTGGGGAGGAAAACTCCCTTTTAACAGGAAGAAACCTCCAGAGGATCCTGGTTCAGTATAAGCAGCCATCCTCCACGACTCACTGGGGATGGAGAAGACAGAGCGCGCGCGCACACACACACACACACACACACACACACACACACACACACACACACACACACACACACACACACACACACCAAGATATATACCAAGTAATGTTTCTATGGCTACATTGTGATTTCTTAGTAAATATTCTATTTAGTAAGAGATAAACTTTATTGTATTTATCCTAATGAATCTATTATTAATTGAACAGGTAAACTAGTAGTAGCACATCCAATGTCAAAGAGAGTAAATGTTATTATCATGTTGGAATAAATATACAGTAGATGCCTTCAAGTCTAGTCAAACACGTTGGCAGAGGATTTAAATGCCCGCCTCGTAACCGCAGGGTTGCAGCTTCACGCTGTAGGTTGACTGATAATGCCCATTCTAATGCTGATATGTAGAGGCCATGGTCAGCTGATGGCCAATATGTGATGCCAATTTTTTTGGGTCGGTTTTCATATCAGGCCAACATCTAGACTGTTTTACATGTGTAGTGAACCTGGGTAGGCTCTGCCAAATAGGTAGAGTAATGGTTTATGCTCTTTTATGAAAGAGGAACCATTCTACATATTAATTTGAGATATTAGTTTTTATAAATTAATAACCAAATATTATAGTTTAAAGAAGACTCAAAGGTTGTTTTCATCGATAAACTGTCGATAATATCCGTGGGTCTGTGTTTCAGTTCAATGAAGAGACAAGTTTGAAAGTTAAAAGATTTAATTCTTCAAATTAAACTAATGATTTTGAAATGACAAGCATAGGAAACAACAATCAACATTGGCAACTTTGTTGAACAATCTTTAACAGTTGATATTGTAAACTTGCTCAAATAGACCTTGTGTTGAATGTGCTGAAGATTGAGAGTGATGTGATTATGGATGCGTGTGTGCATCTGATTTTGCTTCAGGAAGAAACAGGTGTCTGAGTGAAAAGTGATGGTTTGAATAAACTTGGGTTTCGTTGGAAATGATGCATCAAAACGCTATCTGTTGTGTTCTGCCTCACCATACGAGGACCCTCGTTCAGATCCGGAACGTCAAAGGACGATGTTTCATCCAGGGCACCTCGGCTGGCAGGGAAGACGAAGGTGTCCGCCGATCCGGTCCAGAGATGCCCCCTTGGTACACGTGATGATAAAGCGTTTGCAGATGCGCTTTCTTAAGTTTAATTTACTCAGAAAATCAAAGACTCTGGACGAGTCTGCGTTAGCGGTTGCAATTCAGCTATTCCTGTCTGGCTTGGCAGGAATAGCGTGAGGGGGGAGAAAGGAGCCACAGCCCCGTTCCCCGTTGGCGTTGTTCACAAGTCCTCCCTCTTTCGTTGTCAAACACCAAACTGAATCATGAACTGAAAACTTACCAAAAGCCTTTCTCTTCTCAAAGCAAACGTGTGCGTCAGAGCAAATGTGTTTTGGAGTTTACTGTGAGAGTTTGTGTGTGTGTGAGTGTTTGAGTGAGTGTTTGAGTGTGTGAAGGTCGTTACCAAACATCTTCAAACATTATTTACTTAAGCATTGATTCATTAGTTATTATGATTACCCAAAGCATAATAATCATTCATTTGATTAAAACACATTTATAATGAGTAAAATGATAATAATGATTATTCAGCATTAATATAAAGAAAAGGAAGTTTAAGACTTTGTTATGACTACATTCCATGAGAACTCCATCTTCTGGCACTGCAGGTGTTCAGATGTTATGGTTTGCAGCAGACTCTTGCAGACTTGCTGGCGTTCAGGTCTTAATCTGTGGGTGAAAGTTGCTGGCGACCCAGCTCTTGACCCAGCCGGGCCAAGTACAACCTTTGGCACTGAAAACCCATATTTCCTCACGTTACACATGGTAAAATGTGACAAAAAACATCAGGTTTTTAACACTGAATTAAACCAACAGTTAAATCTTAAATTTGTGCATGGCTCAGTGTTAAAATCAGACATCTAATTAATGTTAATCAAACCAATCCCTTTATTTATGAACTTATTTTTAAGAGGATTAAAGATGATACCAAGTGCCTCATATGTGTTCTGTCAATCAGAGGACAATTCCTGGCTTTCCTGATCCTTTCTGAGTGTCACAATGAGCGTAGGAGGTTGGACCAAGATGCAGAAATCCCCAGAACGACTCAAGGCAGGAGAGGTTTAAGAAAATTCCTTTAATTCCTTTATTAAAGGAGGAGGGGTCGAAATCCGAAGCACAAAAATAAGACTAACTCTCAACAACCAACTGAAAACTCAAAAACAAACAAAAGCTCACACACGAGCACAGACTCGGGAAACTCGAGAGGGGAACGAACAACGCAGACACAAACGACAGTGAACCAACCAACACTGAGGGACAAGACAGGCTTTTAACACAGAGGGAAGCAATCAGGGGAACAGGTGACAGGTGTGAGGAGTGAGGTCTGGAGGGAGGACTGGTGAAATCAATTAACTAAATGGGAAGGGAAAACCAAGCAGAGGGGAAGATAACCATAACCTGTAAAACACTAAATAACTCAACCTAGAAACTAAGGGCAGAAATAAACAACTAATAACTAGCGGGATGAGGGGGACTAATGCAAACGAATGGGAATTACAAGGGAGTGACTAGGAGGAAAACATGAGGAAAGCCTAGAGGGAGCTGGGGAACACAAGAAGACACACGAGGAGAACCTGAGGAAGAACAGGAGGGGGCTGGGGGCCAAGGGGACACAACATGACACTGAGCCTTCAGCAGGGATTAGCTGCACTTGAGATGTACAATCTCTTTTCCTAGTCTGTTATCTGAACAAGTATTAAATATTAAGCACAGACAGGTATTTTAGTAAAGCCAGAAAACTTTTAACTCCAGAGTTTTGGCTAGCAGCTATGAGCGTAACTGAACTACTCATGGACAAGACGTCAAAAACTCTAAACACAAAATACTTCAATAAACGGGACACACTTCTTTCCTGCAAATACAATTTCACAGGTGTTGCTAATACCTATGATCCTTCAAGGGATGTGCTCAAAGAGGAGTTCAACATCATGAATACAATATAGTGTTTTAATTTACAAATACCATTATAAACACAAACTTACGTCGTAAGAAACATTATTTTAATAACGAAACTGCTAAATTCTTTCCAAAAGTATAGATGTGTAGTCTATTTTGTCCAAGTGGGTTTGCCGTACTTTGACGTCATCGGCAGTCGAAGGACCCCGAGCCGATCTTGCACCCGAGCAGATCCTGTACCGACACCGTGCGTCGTCTGTGACAGTGGGGCAGGGGGCGGACTCTTGGCCTGGCGGGGTCCAAGCGAGGCCTAGCGGCCCGCCAGGCTCATAGAGAGCTGGGGACACCCTGGCATTTTAACGCCTTTCACTGTGACAACGTAATTTTCTGCAAACACGCCAAGCAGATGGCAGACCTCATCAAATTTACTTCAAGAACTTTCTAGTTTCATATTTGTTGTCGATGTGTCTTTGCAACCTATAATTTGTGAAATCAAAGGCAGAGCAACAAAAAAGCTCCTTTTCCTCCCACTCCTGATGAAAATCCCTTTACTGTCTTTGACTAGAATGAGAAGAAAATCAGCTCCACGAGATACCTCTCCATCTTTATAAAAACCTGCGCTCACAGCATCCTCACATGAAACCAAATGCCTCATATGCTACAGATTCATATGTGTTCTGTCAATCAGTGGACAATTCCCGGCTTTCCTGGTCCTTTCTGAGCCTTCAGCTGGGATTAGCAGCCCGTAGCTATGGCGACAAGCCATTTCAGTTTCTGTTTATGCAGCTTTTCTCTCCAAACATTTCATTATCTCACAGGATGATACAGGAAAACCAATTTGCTTCTGAAACACAGAGCCCCGGAGCAAATTTGTGATTAATATTTAAAATGAAATGAGATACAGCTATTTTCATTTTTGTTCGTCCTTTTAAATTCCAGGTTTGTGGTTTATGTTTGCGCAGCTGTGCCTCATGTGCTTGTTGAGTCTGAGACGAGCCATGAGGTCGTACTCGGATCAGAACAGAAGCTTTTAAAAGTCCTGTTTGCTCACCTGTCCTGTACCTTCGATATTTCACTTTTAAACTTTATTAAACTGAGCCACTGTTTACGTAATGGTTTATTGTAATTTTTCCTATATTTCTTGTTTTGTGACAAGATTTTAGCCAGAAAATTTGCATGATTGCCGTAAGTCAGGTGTGCCCAACCCTGGTCCTCAAGATCCCCTATCCAGCATGTTTTGTATGTCACTCTGCTGATTCAGTGACTGAATCACTTGTTCAACAGCTTCTCAGGCTCCGCAAAACACTGCTAATCACCACTGATTCAAATCAGGTGTGCTGAAACAGGGAAACTTCTAAAACATGCTGGATAGGGGGTCTGGAGGACCAGGGTTGGGCACACCTGCTGTAAGTTGTTTGCAATTTCAACTCAACTCAATGCAGTTAATTTGTAAAGTGCCAAATCACAACAAGAGTCGTCTCAAGGCACTTTACAAAGTAGACTTTCCAGGTATCTTCTACCGGCTCTTGGCGGGTGCAGACGCTTTTTTTCCTCCTCTCCTCCATATCTTATCCTCAAGGCCTTTGTCTGCCTGTGGGTGCTGGGTGCACGGCTGCTTCTGCATTTTTTCTGGAAACTGGAAACTGAAATTCACTAAAATGGATCTCGTCAGCTGGTCTGTCAACACGATTGATAAAATTTTTTCAACGATGAGCACAGGAGAAGGGGCTCCCAGATGTCCTGCCGGGACAGACCCAGTTGGACACATCATGGACTCCTGGAAACAGTGGAACTTGATTTGTTTATCTCAGCTGTCTGTGGAGGACTCTGAAGACGTGTGGATATTCGTGGTGTTGGTGTCAGGTTTCCTGCTCATTGGCCTTGGAGGCTACCTGGCTTACCGGAAAATTAATGAGCTGTTGAGGAATATTGGCCGGATCCCGGAGCTCAGAGATGGTTTGCACCGCGCTGTGAATTCACAGACACATAATTGTCGAGATGAATTGTAAGCTTGGAACTTTGGCCCCCTTGGCGTCCTTGAGCCAGCAAGGCTCCAACGAAAACTCCCCCCTCAGAAGATATGTGGAATGTGCCGTCGCTATGGCAACTCAACTCTGTCTCCTATCCCAGCCTGGGCGAGACTGCGGGAAGGCCGCTGAAACGTTGCACGGTCACTGCAACCCTCCAACCCTCAATGCTCCTCCCCCTATCCACACTGAGGTGACATGCGCTGCTTATCGTGGCTGCAGGAGCTGAAGTGGGGATAGTCCCAACCCACCACCCCACCTAGTGGACATTTATGTTGTGTTGTCTGAAGTCTGTTGCATATCTGTCTGAGGTGTTTTTTTGCAGAGCAAAGCTGCCCTCCTGGGTGAGGGTAACTCTGAAGTGCCTTTTTTTCCCTCCACCTGAACCAATCCTCATGTAACCCTCTTATCTCTATTAAGGTAGCACGACTCAGGGTTGTGAATGACCACAGTCACCAATTCTTGTCATGTGTCTTGCCCATGTATGTCTGATCTCTGAATCGTGTGTACTGAAACTCTAATTTCCCTCTGGGATTAATAAAGTATCTTTGATTTGATTTGATATACCTACTTATCAGTGGACCGAGGTCTGTTCGTTATTCCACTTACTTAAGCTTTCTATGTAAGGAGACCCAGCATCAAGTCACTGACTTGTTGTGTCAGAGACTATACAGCAATCCCTTAATAACAGCAATAATATCGTACGCCCCATGTGACCTCCTCGACTGTAAAACCTGTCACAAAGTTTAACATAAACCCAGTTAGTTAGGTTTCAGGTGAGAATCTGCCCCAGGAGGTATTTTCCAAGTGAGAATGTTTTATGAAATAGATTTCAGTCTTGTTGTTAAGACTTACAAACCAGTGAATGCTTTACTGAAGCATCGAGCATCAGAAAAAGACGAGAAACCTATAAGAATCAGGTCGTTTTTAAGAACCCTTCAGAGACAAAAAGTTATTTCAAGTAGCACCTGCGGATGAACCTTCATGGGCCTGACCAAATGTGAAGCGTTACAGATGACACAAATCCTGAAAGTTGGTCGTCAGAGTCGGGTTCTGCAGGCCACGGCTTTAACAGGCGCTGGCAGAGCCTCGCTCAGGGAAACGGGGCGATAATGACAACCAACGCTCTCCCGCTGAGATGAAATGCTCAAACACGCCGCCACACACAGCAGCCATGGCCCCGTTTCAACACTGATAACGAGCATCTAATGAGCAGTGATGTCATCGCCACAACAGGCCGACTCTCTTCCCTCTTTATCCTCCGCTGCTGTCGGTTAATTAGGCTGCAGACACAAGAAGCTGTTGTTCTAAGGCATGTTCATCACAATAAAACATGGTGAATACGCGTGGGCTACAGCTACTCTAATTCAACCAAAAAACATCAAAAACAAAAAGAGCTCAAATTAATATTTAACCAGATAAATATCAAAATAAAAATGAAAATCTTCCAAATGAATCTAAGCTCTGCAGATATTCCAGTCGTTGTAATGCTGCATTTTGTGTGGGATGTCCGTTATTTTACTGAGAATTTAAAGATTCTTGCTCCTGTTATTTTTTTTTAGATATAATCCATAATAATGAAAAAATTGCTCCTTTTATTTTCCTCTCATCCCATCATTCAATAAAAAAACACAAAATAAACCCAAAATTACACAGAGATTCTAACAAATGGATTTATAAAAGAGTGTTTCACTCAGTTTATTGAACAAAATATTTTACAGTGTCTTGGATATACATATATACATGTATGTGTTGTGTTACGCGGGTGATCAACCCCTGCAGTAACGATGGTTGCTAATCTGCACCATCTAACTTCAATGGATGCTTCAAAAATATTAAATACATCATTGACTTCCAAACACATCGTACAAATCTTAATATAGAAAGAGCAAAAAATAAGAATTTATCTGTGAAAAGCTCTCAGTCTCAGGACTCTTCATACAAAAACAGGCTTTTGTTTTTCTGTGGTGTTTCTCAGCTCCAGTATGCAGGTAATAAATATACCTGGAATTCCCTCTGGTTTCTCTCGTAGGGTGTTGTTCACCTTTCCTTTGCGGGGAAATCACAGTAAAGGACTTATTCTAGAACAAATAAAGTAGAGGCTCCGGAGCTCCTGCCACGTGGTCAGCAGACCTCTCAGATTACATACACATCAGTCTTCTCCCCAAGAAGCCAATATGTTCTCATTTTGCCTTTGCCCTGGAAAAGCACAGAAATCAATAGGTTCATCAATGGAAATGCAGCAGAGACGGGGGATGAATGCCTCCTATCAGATTGCTTTCTGTTTCTGGGTGATACCAAAGCTTTTTAGGGGGATCTTATTACACCTCCACCATTATCCACAGATGACACATCATGAAGCTCCAAATAAAAAAAAACCCTAAAAGGACCTTCCTGTTAGTGACATTTTGACAGATGTGAAGTGCTTCTTGTCTTTTCTGGTTTGGTGTTATTTCCCTAAAAGCTGTGCCATGATAATACGTTGATTTCCCCTCCCAGGTTGTTAAAAATCATCCTTACAGTGGTCATTTGTCATGAAAGAGTAACTAAACCCCAAAATAATAAATTTTTTTGCTTATAAACTGTATAATTGGGTCCTTACAAGTGCAACCTTTCTGTTTCTGTGAATTGTTTTTACATGTTTGTGTAAACTTGATTTAATCTAGAATCGAGGTCTAAAATGTCTCAGTATTGCCCCCTGTGGCAGAACAGCGGCTACTGCATTTTAAATTTGCGATTGACCGGGGCTGGTACAATTTCGCGTCATCGGTGCAGTCTCCTCCCACTATCGCTCACTCCCAGGGTGGAAATTACCCACACTTGGGGTGTTTCTCAATGACAAGGAACCTCGCCTTGATGTCTTGGCCCCGTCCCGGTTGCCTAGGAGATACGTCATCAGGAGCCGCCAAGACGTGTTCCCATGTTCATGTTCTACCGAGGCGTGTGACCTCCGTTTGTTAGCCGTTTAGCTAGCTGAGCGAGGATACACAGGAGGTGTCTTGTAGCCTAGCCTTGGTCAAAAATTACCCAGAATACACCGCGGTATTTTCAAAAGGACGGCGGATCAGAAGCCGGCAGCTACTTCGGGGACAAATTTCAAGTTTAAAAGTAAGTCAGCTAATTTAAAATGTTTTTTTTAGATGCAAATAAGTTATCCATGGTTGGTTAGTTGCTTAGTAGTTGCAGCTTCGGTGGCTAGCGGGTAGTAACTCACTTATATATTTAATAAACATATACACAATTTAAAAAGTAAAAGTCTCGTTATATATTTATATTGATACTAATACGTATAAAATATAACGTTATCTCCCGTGACTTGTGACGTTATGTGACCGCTGTGGAAGTCGCGGTCACGTGATGCAAGTCTGTTCCATTTATCCGTTTTCTTTGACCAAGGAAGGACAGCGTCCTCGTAAGCAAGACATCTGGCCTCGCAAGACATTGCCTGGGTGAGAAACACCCAGGGTAAACTATCCTGATGGTTTTATGTTAGTGGCATGACTTTGTGACTTTGTGTAATAGCAAAACCTCACAGGCTCTCACTTATACACAAGCACAAGACCAATAAACGCAATAACCATGTTTTATTTTCAATGAAAAAACAAGATCTTACCTTCATTTCTACATCTCCTCGTAACTGAAGGTCAAAGTAACCAAACTCATCCAGCACTTCTTTGGTGGCTGAGGATACGTGGATCTTTAAGGCTGAAAGTAAAAAAAAAAAAAAAAAAAAAACACCAAACTATCAGTGCACTGGTTTGACATCCGCCCTTAACTGGAGTTATAGGTGATGACCAAAGGACTGATGCAGTCGATGCAGTACAGAAACAAGCTGCTGAATCGCTAACTGGGATGAAAACGTGCTTTGTTTTGTTAAATAATGCACCACATGCAGAGATGTGTCCTGTCTGGAGCATCCAACTGCACGGTTTATCGCTGGCTAAAGGCCCTTTGCCCTAAGAGCTATGAATTATTCACCAGAGGATGCCCGATACAGGAAGACACTCGGCAGATAATCAATACATCTGATGATTCACTCGCAAAACATCAAACCACTGTTTCCTAACTTCTGACTCCTGTCAGTAGCAGTTAAGATCAGAAATTGATTATTGTGAAGAAACCCCCCAAAATAATGTCCGGGTGTTCACGGGCAGCTCATAAACCTTTAAAGTGGACCACATTAAAGATGGCCACCACAGCTGATCAACCTTAGCAAACACAGTAACGGTTATAATTGTCGGTTGTTCAGATGCTGAGCCATAATTTAGTGTGTCAGTAGTTAAGAGTCATTTACAGCAAATCATCTCACACGTTTTTCTTCAAGATTTCCTCCAAAAAGCTCATATATGTTTAGCGATGGGTACCGAATTCGGTACTTTTTAAGGTACCGACCGAATTCCACAGTACCGACTGAGCACCAGTTCACATCATTTGAAACGGTGCCTCGTTTCGGTACCCGTCCTTCATAACGAGAACTTGCCTAGACAGCTGCGCATGCGCAAGAGCGTTATGTCGTCGGTCGCTGCGAGCGAGTTGTAAACAGAGCAGCATGGTAGAAAGAACGCACGCTAATGCTTGGGTCCACTTCACTAAATGTGATGGGTAACTGGGTGATGATGAAACCAGCAACAATGATCTAAGTGAGACATCCTCATCTTAATCTGCTCCGGTAGGTAAATAAAACGTTTAAGATAACGTTAGCTTGATATGTTAGCTTACATTTCGCTAATGGTGCGTTCGCTTTCTCCTCGGAACTCCGAAGTTCCGACTAGAAGAACATGAACGCGCTCTAAAGTTTGGCTTCACTTTACTAAATGCGACGGGTGATTGGATGAAGATGAAACCAGTGACAACGATCTAAGTGTGAGGCATCATCGTTTTAATCTGCTCCACCAGCTAAATAAACAGTTTAAGATAACGTTAGCTTGATAAGTTAGCTTCCATTGCCACCACGGTTATCAGCTAATGGTGCGTTCGCTTTCTCCTCGGAAATTCTAACTTCCCAGTAGGAAAAATCAAAAGAAAAAGGACGGCAAAAGGAATGAAGATACACAGTAAATTTAGTTCACAGTAAAGATGTTTGCTTCAGTTTAATTATCAGCTTATAAAACTACAAGGACGATGTTAAAATACAAACAGTTGTATGTTATTTATCGTGATATTTATCAAATATGGTTATACCATGCTGTAGTTCTTTTTTAAAACACAGAGCAGTTTTGTTTACGTGTTTTCCCGCTACGTTTCACTGTTCTGTGTTTTAAAAAAGAACTACAGCATGGAATTAGAGATACGACACAGCAAGAACACGCCTAAGATGTTCAAAGAAATATGGTTATATATTGAGAAAAATATATATTTAATTATAAAAGAGAATTAAAATATTAAACACTCAAAAGTATCGAAAATTGGTATCGTTAAGTACCGGTATCGATTCCTAGGTACCGGGAATTAGTACCGGATCGATTCAAATGTCAAAGGTACCCATCCCTATATTTGTTAGCATAAGGTGAATCTAGTTTCAAATCTCAGTTTTCTAAAAAGTCCTAAACAAATATGTCTATATTATCGGGACTGGGTGACAGAGTTGATGTGGAAAGGAAATCTGTGACGAACAGCAAAAAGAAAAAGTACAGCATCACATAGACTGGTGTGATATATGTTCCTGCCTGTCGTCTGGAGATTTTCAGCCTGCACTGCAGCAGTGGGAGAGAAATAAAGAAATAAATACGCGGGGAGAACAAAAAGCCGCTGACAGCTGCGCTCACCCTCTCCGTTGGACTCCATTCGAGATGCCGTGTTGACAGTATCTCCAAACAAGCAGTATCTGGGCATCTTCAGCCCGACCACACCAGCACACACCGGGCCTGAGGAGCACAAGCCAAACATAGTCACATCTCACAATCAGCTCCGCTACGGCGGCGGCGCCTACACGCAGGGGCGTCGGACTGGGGGGGGAAAGGGTACCGTTTACCCAGGGCCCACTGCAGGGAGGGGCCCTGAGACAGCTTTGAATAAAAATGTTTTATTGTTGTTGTTTTTTTCCCCCAACTTACTTAATGTCTTAATAAATTTCCCTTTACCCGGATAAAGAGGTTAAGAAACAGAATTTCGCCTTAAAAATAATAACTGAATAATCTCTGAGGCATCTATCACCCCTTAAAAATGTGCAAAGTGGTTTAGTCCACACCAGCGGCCAGGGGCTGCCCGGCTGCATGTGCTAATGAGACATCGCAGATGCCGACAGCCAGAGCTGGAGGCAGGAGAGTCAGTCATGTCTTTTCCCAAGAAAGGGAAATCTGGCTTCCAGAAAAGAAAAGAAAAGAAAAGAAGGAGAAGGAGGAAAAGTTAATTGAACAGAAGCAAGTAGAAGGAAGGTGAGCAGCAGCAGCAGAACACAGTTTTAGCTGATATTAGCTAGCTCTCAGAAGCTGCATTCATGTTAGGTGTTCAGTGTTAAACACCTTTAGTTTCACCATCAAGATCAAATATAAATTAATTAGTGTTATCAGTGAAAACACTAATTTTAGGGATAAGCCGGATACTCATTTCAGACGAGTATCCGGTATGGATAACGCATTTTTGACGAATACTAGCATGAAACTAGTAAAACGAGTCATTATCTGTAATCGTGCTGAAGGAAAATCTTCATTGGGTAACTGACTGTCTTCACGCTCTGTGATTGGCCAGTCACATAGAGCGCCCGCCCCTCCCTACTTACAAAACTCTCTAGCCGACCGGGAGCTCAGTCCGGCCGGCTCATCCACGCACACACACAGACAGTAACGGATCGCGCTGTGATGGCTTCACTGTTGCTCACGTTTCTTCAGTTTTCCCTAGGTTTTCTTCAGCTCGCCTCTTTTTCGGTTGAATATTTAAAGTTACTTTTTTCGTAACTGACATGGTGCATTTGACAAGACAGAGCTGACGTGCTGTTGTCACTACCTCCGCTCCGGTGGGGTTTTTAATTTTTTTTTATCTCTCTCTCTCTCTCTCTCTCTCTCTCTCTCTCTCTCTCTCTCTCTCTCTCTCTCTCTCTCTCTCTCTCTCTCTCTCTCTCTCTCTCACACACACTCACACACACACATTAATCAACATTTCTTTGTTAAACTTTGTGTGGGAAAATGCCAAGAACGTTAAGAAAAAAATCAGTTTAATCAAATTAAAATAAAAAATATATATATAAAGTTGTGTCTGGTTCTAGCATTTCATATTTCCTAGTTCCTACTGCATGGGTTCAGATGTATTAATCCATGCACTCAAATATTAATGTTCTGATTTTATTGAAACACTTTTTCTGTAATAGTTTCTTTACTATTGTGATCAAAAATATTTAATCTCACTTCTGAGGCTGCTCTGTAAATAGTTTTCAAATAAACAATACACATAGCAACTTCTGATCAATCCATATCAATTTCAGACTTAAAATAATACATTGATGTAAACCATGTCCACTTCCGGTTAAACCACGCCCACTTCCGGGTTATGCCACGCCCATTCCGAGTACAGATACAGATAGTGGTGTACTCGCTCATCCCTAATATATATATATATATATATATATATATTAAAATCAGAATTATTATCGCGGGCGGCCGCCGCCAATTAATTTGCGGACCTCGCAGTAAAAACAGGTTCACTCTGTGTGGATATTTCAGCTCCTTCCCAGTCATGGACCAGGACAAACTTGGTATCGATGGATTCGTGGTAATCTCAGGAATGAGAAGCTGCCACTGTTTTTCGTATAGCATGACGACACTGGTGTTAGAGGATTGTTATTGACTTGGTTAGATATTTTAAGCCTATTTTAAATTTCTTTATATTTGATCTTGAAAACGGACAATCTTATAATTTGGCTGATAATGCAGGGATTATAAAATTTAGAGTGCATTACATTCACAGAGAGAACCTGGTTTATTTCATGTCATATGTATTTAATATATCAATACATATAAGTATTAGCAAAGCTTAACATCATGAACCATGACAGACATGACTGAAGAGCAGATGAAGACATCATGCCAAGGCACTGATGAGAAAATATTACAAGGATCTCACAGCTGAATTTGAGAATGAGATGCTACACCTGAGAACAATATATGGTGCCACATTCCCACACATTCGGTCTCCTCTTGAGCTGCTTAATGCCATCTACAGGATGCAATTACAGAGCATTTTTGGAGAAGTTTGTATTGGACTGAGGATTTTTTGCACACTGCCTGTGACTGTTGCTGGGGGTGAACGGGCTTTTAGCAAACTGAAACTGGTGAAAAATTATTTGAGATCAACAATGTCCCAGGATAGACTGAACAGCCTAGTTCTTCTTTCTATTGAAAGCCAATTAGCCAAAGGATTGGACTTTAAAGGTCTCATAAGTGATTTTGCTAACATGAAGACCCGTCAGTGGGCATTTACAGGAAAATAAATTCCAGGATTTTTGTTTGAACACATTGTTGGCAAATAAAAATAATTATATGTGAAGTCTTGGCATTTCGCTTTTATTATGCTGGCATTTGTATTTGCTCAATATAGAGGTTAAACTAAGATCATATTTATTATCTTGTCTTATAGCATGACAAAAAATGTGTCAGAGAGATATTAAGTAATTGAGCATGGGGGGCCCACCTAGAAGACTTGTACCTAGGGCCCAGAATTTGGTGCTACGCCCCTGCCTACACGCGCCGGCCCACTTCTGTGTGCATGTCAAGTGTCTGGATAAAACAAACAGCTGTGATGAGAGGACGCAGTCTAAACACTGGGTCAAAAGCCTCTTGTAAATAGATGATGGTGCAGACAGAGCACGATAGAAGTGTTTATTCACAACCTTTGTGTGCATTTCCAGAGGTTGGCTATTACAAACTAATATTAATCATGATGTATTTTGTTTTATTTCAAAAGGTTCTGATGCTTGACTCGTGTTGTGATCATTTAGGGGTTCTGCACTGCAGAATATCAATAAAGATGCAATAATTCACATTTTTGGTATCCTTTAGGTGATTTACTCAATATTTATTCTGTCATTTTATCTCTGCAAGTGTGTGAAAATGTTATTTAGTTCTATTTTACATGTTCACGTGCTGATTTTATCTTTCATGTTTCACTTTATTACAGCCTTTTATTATATTATGTAGGCATTCATGTTTAATCTGATGCAGTTCTACAACAAATATATGCTTATTTACACAATTAAAAAAACAACTAAAATGCACAATTGACATTAAATGAAGAAATCATTGAACAGGAAATGATTACAGCTGCACTGAAATGTTTTCTCACCAAATCTGCTTTTGTTTAGCTGGTTTTATTCTCTGAGTCGGTGGCGGACGGGTGCAGCCTGACTTGTTTAAAAAGCTCTAACATCGTGTTTAATCCTGGGCAGTTTAATGGGATTAGTAATAGGTTGGTTAACCTCCTGTTGCCAAAGAGGGAGAAAATAGCTCCAATTCTGGAAAAATTACAGGGAAACTCACTTAGGAACGGGTGAAATTGTGCGAGAGAAGCTGCTGTTTGTGGACGGACTCTGAGTGCCGTGAACAATTTTCTCATTTTGAAGCGACCCGAAGAAAAAAACACTCAGTAGAAAATTGCCTCTGAAAGAAAAATAAATGATGGGTTTTGCTTTTCCTGCTCTCCGCTCAGCGCCCCGAATGGCGCGACCTCTGTCCACAAAGAGCAGCGTCGGGGATGTCTGTCAGACTTGAACCCTCTTTACGTGTCAGACTCTGACTCACCTGTGTGTATTCCTATTCTGAGCCTCAGCTGGTCGTTGGGTCTGTGTCGAATCTTAAACGTTTTGACCTGCTCTAATAAAGCCAGCGACATGCCGGCAATCTCTCGGGCGTGGAGTTTACCGTTCCGCACCGGCAGCCCGGACACCACCATGTAGGCGTCTCCGATGGTCTCCACCTGTCGGACCAATCAAAGACCATCAATAATGTCATCATTTAGATGTATTACAGCAATATGATGACACCACAAGCTTTTATTAGATAGGTTCTACCTACTTTGTACACATCGAAGTTATCAATTATGGCATCAAAGCACGTGTAGAGATCGTTCAGCAAAGTGACGACCTGCAGACAACAGGATCGGGTTTCAGTGCAAAAGCTGATTTTTAACAAGTCCTGTAAGCCATATTCAACCTCCACAGGGTCTGCAGACCGTAAAACCACATTCTGCTGGACAGTCGGACAAATCCGCTCTCGGAATGGCTGCAGAGTCTTTGGATGGTGAACTTGTCACGGTTTACTTTCTGTGAGTCATAAAATGCAAGACGTGTGTTTAAACTTGGAGATGAGTTGGAAAGTGAATTTCTGATGAAATAAGGTTAAATTGGTAACACGTGATTTTCTGTCAGGCCCCACGTGACTAGGCTCTCTGGGTGAAATACTGATCATTTGGTAAATTCTCAATAATTCATTGAACTAGATACGCCACAACAAAAGCAATGTTAAAAGAGATAAAACAAGAGCGTTCAGGACATGATCACCAGACTCGCCACGCCGCTGTAACGCTCCCGCTGCCAGGGGCCTCAGGGCCGCAGACAACGTTCATGTTTTTAGAAACAGGCTCAAGACCCATCTTTTTAGCTTAGATTTTAACTGATTACTATCACTTTTTAAATAAATTAATTAATTAGGTTATTTATTTGTTTTCTTTCTTTACACGTGCTATTTTTAAACAGAGATTTTTACCATAGATTTAAGATCAACATTATTTTAATATCTATATAACTTTTTATATTTCAATTCAAATTTTGGCTCTTTTGATTTTATATATTAACCTTAATTTAACCTTTTTCCAGTGTTTCCTCTGTGGGAGCCTTCTGCCCCGGGGCCGGTGGTCGGCTGTGGCGGCCTGGGTGCTTTCCAGGTGTGCCCGGGTGGAGGTGGGGGTCTCCGCCCTCTCTGCCCTGGGCACCCTCTGTCGGTGCCTCGGCTGCTGCTGTCGGGGCGGATGGCTCCCCTGATGGTGTTTCCTTAGCTGGTTTGGCTCATCTGAATTCAGTCCCAATGTGTTTTTTCCATTGGGGGGGGGGCATGTTTTTATTGTCTGACTGTTTTTAAAATTCTGGGGGTGGGGTGGGGGGGGGGGTGGGGGGATGTGGGGCCTTTTCAAGTTTGTTAAGCAATTTGAGTTGCATGCATTGTAGGATTAAGTGCTGTATAAATAAAGTTAGTTTGAGTTTAAACGCTCATTTACTCGTGTTTTTGGCGTAATTATGTGTAGTGCATACAAATAAATGATCACACCATTATTTTGTGTGCACTACACAAGGTTTTAGCATAACTTTGTTTTAGCAGGAGTTGTGGTTTACCTGCGCTTCTGATCGATGCTTTTATTTTAGTATTTATGACATCTGGGACGGCGCAGGACAAAAATTAATTATCCGTTGAGTCTAATCTAATCTCTTAAGGTTATTTTAATCCATGTATTTATTTCAAACAAAGTCATTCTATGAGAAGTTTAGGATGCGGCAAACGGCTGCTGCCAGAGTAAAGTTTGTGTTTTTGCGTATTTTTATTATTTGCTTTGCCTTTTCCAGTTCTCCCCTGCATGTTCTCACCCTGAAACAGACAGCTGGCTCCTTCATTAGATGGTGAAATCTTCCCCAGGTGTTTCTGGGCTCAGGTGACATCTATCAAGCTGTTTGTTCGCTAACTGCTCTCAGACTGACGGATGTCAGAGATGCTCCGCAGCTTTCGGAAAATAACTGTTTGGAAACACGGAGCGGCCTCGGCAATTACCGGTCGAGCTGAGGGAGCGTTTGGCACGAGGCTTTTCAAACCCCAGCATCTCTCTCTGGGTTGGACTAAATGTGCTTTCCAGCATCTTTTGTCCCATTATTTAAATGACATTTGTCTCCGTGCATTTGAGCAAAATTCATGTTGTCACTCATACCTGAATGGCCTCTGTTCACAGAAATATAGATGGAGAACTAAAGTAGGTTGCTCCAATTTCAACCCACTTAAACATGCTATGAATATTGATTCACAGTTTAAACCTCCAAAAGTTATTTATAAGTAAGAAATAATAAACAGTGAAAAGAAACAGTTTTTTAAAAGTACAACATCATCAAATGAGTAAATAAGCAAAATCCTTTAATAACTTCCAGCTGAACTTTGAATCTCTGAGTACTTTTATTTTTATTTATTTATTTGGGGCCGTGCACATTCATGAACAATCAAGTACTTTTCTTACAGACCGTAAACGAGCCAGATTATAGCATATTTGCTCATTTTAATCTGTAGCCCCCTTCACAACCGACTCTTTAAAGAGCAAGTCACCCCCAGATAAACTTTTTTTCCTGATAAACTATATAAATGTGTGTCCAATCGTGATGCAGACACGTGTAGTCAATAGTTTAGCACTTTAGTACATTTTAGTTAAAATTTAAATATTCTGCCTGAAACTGGCAGTGTTGTGCCGTTGTCAGGTAAAAACTCTTCACTGTATTTTAATTTAAATCTGCCACTGCTATTGGCTAAGAGGTATGCTATGATGTAAACTGGTACATTATGATGTCACAATGCTGTCGTGAGCCTGTGTGTGTGTGTATTTGTTAGCGACTCCGCCCTATCGGTCTGCCAGGCAACAGCATTTGTTGCATTTTTCAAACATGAAATGGGAGTGGAGTTAGAATCTGGTAGGGGTTGACTTGCTCTTTAAAGGTTTCAAACAGCTTCGGTGTCACCAATGTTCCATGCAATTATTATCCTTTACAACTTTATAGACATGAGTTTGCATCACATGGTTGTTTACAAGTGTAAAAATCGCATAGCAGTTTTGACGAGGGTGACCAGATGTCCCGCGCTTTCAGTACTTTTCACGCGTACCGCATTATTGACAGTTTCCCGTTTCGAGTTTCAACCTTATAGAAGAAACTGGAGAAATCTGCCTGTTGCTGTCAATCAAACGGAGGCGGGACTTTATGGCAGATCCGGAGCGTGCGTGGAGCGCGCCCGAACCACCAAAACACGCGTGAGTGAGCACGGAGGAGAAGATGCTGTAAACTCGTGAATTAAACGTGTTCAGAGATACTCGACACTCTTTGTTGTTTCTGAGTCATTCTTCATGTCTCGGCGCGGAGTCTGATACGAAGAGGTCAAAAGCAGGTTTTCCAGTAATTAGACAGGTCCATGATAAACACAATGGAGGCTCTAACACAGACACGGTGCTGCGGTTTCAGATACCTGCTACATGCTGAGCGAGTAGCCCCTGACTGCAGTACGCAGATCGGGGCGGGGCAAAATGTGGGCGGAGTCTCTGTTTTGTTTCTGAATTATGAAAAAAATAGCAAAAAAGTGGATATTTTTTCAATGAGATGCTGATTTTAGTGGAAAATGAATGAGAAACAAACATAAATAGATCTAAAAACTATTACTGGTACTTTTACTGTCATTCTGTTGTGGAAAACATTGAATGAAAACTCTGAAAAGCTGCTTAAACCTGCATGTTTTTATTATTGTGGGCCGATCTTTGTTATTAAAATGATCAGAGCCATTACAGAGTCATGTGGTAACGTGAGAGGAACTGTGGAACCGTAAAGCTTTTGCTGTTTGCTTGTTCCTGTTTAGTTCAGATAAAATATATACAAGAAATATATGATAATAAGAATATAACTTCATGTATATGTAACAGTAATGTTAGGGCTAAAAGGCAGAATATACCTTTTGTTTTTGTTTTTTTCCTCATTACATTGGAACATCACGTCCCACATTTGGCCAGTTGGGATCTGGCCACCCTAGTTTTGACGCATCCAGGGTTAAATCTGGCAAGAATTTCTCAAAGTTTTAGCTTAAAAGAGCTTGTAATGTCAACCTAATGGAGATGGAAAGGTTTATGTAGCTGGTTGTCTCTCATCAAACCCTTTCTGGCCTTAAAACCTCCAGATGGAGCATCAGTATTAGTGCCTTCATCAGAAACCTGCCATATGTAGTCCTATACGTGTTCACTGCCCCCTGGTGGAGGATCTACAGGTGGCGAGGGCCACTTTTATTTCTTTATTAATGTTATTTTGTTATAGAATTACATAAATTAATTCAACTAAATGATATAGTTGTTACATTAACAACAGACAAGAAAATGTTCAGTTTTAAAATAGTGATTTTAGTTTTCATATCTCAGACTAAAGTGATAAATCAGCAAGTAAATCTCTGCACCTGCTGTCCTAACCGCCACACGTTATTAGTTCCAGTACATCTGGGCTACATTACTGTGAACAGAGGCTGTTCGGTAGGATTCGGGTTACAGTTTTACACAGAAACATTCCACCAGAAGGGCTTAAACTCTCTTTAAGGGTGAGAACGTGGTGCAGATGAGAGGGAGTTTGTTGTGGAGCTGCCGCCCATCAGCACTGAGACCCTGTGACACACCATGCCTGAAGTCAAGAAAGCTCAGATAACGTGACTCAACTCTGCGTCAGCATGTTCTTCCATCTATCAGCGCTACTATTTTCAGTCCCAGCCTGTGTGTGGGAACACTCCGTGGGATCTGTGAGACACACCGGAGGTAGAAGCCTGATCCTGATGAGCTCTTTAATGCATTAGTAGGAAGGAAGATTCGCCGCAGCCGCCATCACGACTGGAGATTTGGAAAAGCTTCGGAGATGTCGAGGAACGTCTCACAGGCAGAAATGGTGTCTAGCAGAGTGGGAATCACCCACTTGAGGCGTTTTGAATACGGCGTACCTGTAGTGGCGTGCTCTCTGCAGACAGGGACGTGAATCCTACGATGTCGCTGAAGTAAATGGTGACGCTGTCGAAGGCCTCCGCCTGCACCGTCTCACCTCTTTTTAGCTGCTCCGCTACAGAACTTCACAAAGACAGAGAAAAGTCAGACCGTTAACGCTGGAAGATCCGAGTGTTTGTAAAAATACAGAAACAAGAATAGATCCGATGATCCGAGCCGGAGAACAGGTGTTTACTCAGCTGAACGTTCTTTAAGGTCTGGCCGAACGCCTGGTTACATCGATGTCATTTAATCTCTGCTCATGCTAATTTTGCTTTAATCAAATGACACCAAAGGCAAAACAAGACTGAGGTCAGGTTGTTTAATTCAGGACGGCGGTGAGAAATCAAATCTGTTGTTTCTCTCAGGCCCTTTTCTGACTGTCTGCCTCTGACTTGAGGAGGGGAGAGAAGGATAAACGACTGAGAAAGACCGGATTTGTCTCTGTGGTTTTATCGGCTAAACTCTCTGTTGCTTCGGTCTCTCCTTAATGAGCCGCTTGCCTCTCAGCTTCCTCCGGTCTCCTTTTATCTGCAGCGGGATCACACCACAGGGAGAAGTGTTCCTGTTAGTAACGTTCAGTGTTGGAAAAAGTCCTGTCTTTAATTAACACAGAGGCTCCGACCGGCCGACAGAGTGTCTCTGGATCATGGTGGCAGTTCGCCCAACTTACTGACTTCTAGTTAATTGGTGGTTGTGTTCTTTCGTCTTACTGTGGTAGTATTTGATAGAGGAGGTTTTCAGCTTTCCGCTTCTCCTCCAGGTAGGCTTGTGTTCGCTCCTCCACCAGGTTCTCCAGGTTGTTGGCGTACTGCTCCATCCGGGACAGCAGGTTGTTTAGAATGCTGGTGCTGCCCTCCCTGTGAGACACACATGCAACGAAGCACAAGACAGGTCCAGTGTTGGACTGGTGTGAGCCATTGCTTCTGTTTCAAACATCTAACTGGACTTTCTTGGAAAATGTCCCACACCGTGAAAGAGAAAATCACAAGTTGTACCAAAGAGACAATGCTTTTCCTCCAAATCAGTGCAGGTAGAAGCTCTGGGTGGGATTTGTAGCTGCTTTTCAATCAATCAATCAATCAATCAATCAATCAGATTTTATTTGTAAAGCGCTTTTCAAGCAAAGTGCTCTACAAAATGACCCCAAATTCCCATAACAGTTAAAAAACATGAACAGACATATGCAAACACACACACACACACACCAGTAAAAATTTGTATTCGGCTGAGTCCAGATGAGCCAAGTAAGGTAAGGCAAGGAAACGCCATCAGAGGAGCCGTCTGCCCCGGCAGCATCAGGTCTTCCACATTATGTCAGGGCGCTCAGAGGGGGGGGGGGGGGGGGCATAGACCCCCACCTCCACTTAAACACTACCTGTAGAGCGCCCGGGAAGCTACAGTCGACCACCGCCCCCGGGGCAGAGGGCCCCTACGGAGGAAACACTGGATTAAAATGAGTAAAAATATGAAAATAAAAGAGCAAATATAAATGACAAAAGGTAAGAAAATAATTAATAAATTAAATCATATGGACAGTAAAATAATAATATTAAATAATGAAACAATGCTAAAATATAATCATATAAAACACGCAAAGCAAGCAATAAATATAAATCATGTAAAACAAGAAATAAAACTATAGTAAATAATTAGATCAAAGCTAACCTAAATAGGTGGGTCTTGAGCCTGGACTTAAGCCTGGCTTTTGTTTGTTCCCTTCGTTTCCTGACCTTAAGAGGAGGAGTTTAAAAAAGCTGATTTCCACAACAACAAATTATGATAGAGTATAATACAGTATTGCAGCTGTGGCTATGCTGTAGCTCATCACCATCGTGTGTGAATAGTTTAATGTAAAGTGCTTTGGGGTCCCTAATTTGGAATAGCTCCATACAAATGTGCAATCATATTATTATTAAATTCTTTTGGACTGGTTCCTCTAGTTTTCTCATCCAGATCGTCCAGCCTGGGTCTTCCCAGGTATATCATCTCTTCAGAGCCTTTGGTCTCTTGGAAAGGCGGAATAAGAACAGAATAAGGAGAGGGAGGTGACGAAGGTCACGAAAAAGCCTGAATAGGTGAGTTTAAAGGAGACCACTGAGTCCACTGATCTCAGGCTCAGGGGGAGAGAGGTCCAGAGTCTGGGGGCCACAGCAGCAAATGATCTGTCACCTTTGACCTTTAGCCTGGTGCTGCACAACCAGTAGGCTTTGATCACTGGACCTCAGGGACCTGCTGGGGGTGTAGGGACTAAGAAGATCACCAATGTAAGATGGTGCTTGTCCATGTAAGGCCCTATAGACCAGGGGTCTCATTTATCAAACATAGTATAGAGTCCTTACTAAAACCGTACTTAAGCTCAGCAAAAAAAAATGTACTTATGCCAAGCAGGTGTGTGATCTATCAAACATGGAGGACGCACGGCTGCACGCAGTCTCCGCTTCATAAATCAGAAACTATCTAGAAACATTCTCAGCTGCTTTTTAGTCACATCCCGCCCTCACCACGCCCACTTACTGCCATAAATAGTCAATGCAAAGTGCCTTGTGGATCTCATGCATATACATAAGCCAGCTTGTTGCAGCATTCGATCACAACCGCAGATCAAGGAAGTGCTATTTCACAGAAGCAGAAGTTGAGGTACCTGTGGGTGAGCTGGAGAAATGAAAGGAAGTGCTTTTGCAAAACAAATAAGAGAAAATCCACGGAGTGGCACAGCGTTGCTGAAGCCGTCAATGCTGACTTCTTCAGAGAGATCTGTGGCGGATATAAAAAAATGGTCCAATCAGGATTCAATCCCCAGACTCCCGGGTGAATGTCACATACGCTAACCAGTCACCCAAACAGAGATCTCCCTTGTCCAAGTAGCCAGGGCGCATGATCAATCGGGTCACAGTGGCAGGACGCTCACCGTCACAGATGCATGATGTTCTGTCTCAATCTGTCCCCCGCTGGTATTCTGCATTCTGGCTTCAGGCTGTGTGTGTGTGTGTGTGTGTGTGTGTGTGTGTGTGTGTGTGTGTGCGTGCGTGCGTGCGTGTGGGGGGTCTTGTTCTGTGTGAAAACGAAGCGGTACAAGTGATAATGCTGCAGGATTTCATAATTGTATCTTCTCAGCAGCAGCACTGCAGGTGCTCTCCATGTCCAACATGTGTGTAAGCCAGGTCCTTAGTCAACTTAAAGTTGTGCACATTTTTCAGCGAAGTTTTCTTTCATAAATCCCAAAGTATGCGTGGAAAGTTGCTTACGCAGTTTTCCGACCCCGTTTTGTGCGTAAGCAAGCTTGATAAATGAGGCCCCAGAACCAGGATCTAGAAATGAACCCTGAAGTTGACTGTCAGCCACTGAAGCTGGAGGAGAAGCGGGGTGATGTGGGTGTGTTTGGAGGACTTGGTCAGAAGCCGAGCACAGGCGTTCTGAACCACCTGTAGACGGTTCAGGGAGGTTCTGCTCAGACACGTGAAAAGAGAGTTACAGTAGTCTACGCGTGAGGAGATGAAGGTGTGGAGAACTGTCTCAAGTTCAGAGCGGGACAGAATGGGACTCAGCTTAGCAACGTTCCTGAGATGGAAGAAGGAAGAGCCAACAAGAGAACTGACATGAGAATCCAGGGTGAGAGCTGGGTCAAAGGTCACGCCAAGATTCCTGACTGGAATCCTAAAGGAAGCGACTGATTACCGTGATGGCTCTAAAGATAAAGTCATCAGACACTTTAGCGACGTGTGGTGCTCTCGTCTTCATAAGCTCCTTTTAGAGGACACACCATGCCAGCAGATCAGCGTAACACTGCCAGGCGTGTCTTATGAACGCGATGTGGGAATTTTGCGGCATTCGTGCCGCCACACTTGGTAGTGAAATTACCGCAACACTGGACTAAAATGCATTTTTCGACTTGGTGCAACAGGGGGAGGTGTCGTGATCACGGGGGGAGTTACTGCCGAGCTCCTGAAGGGAAATATGTTGAAAATGAAAGTAAACACAAGCCGCAAGTTTTGCTTTTGTAATCACCTCCTCCACCACGTTTGTCTACTCCAAAGTGATAACTGATCTTCCAAGATCCGTGTAGTCGCACCACACACACTGTGATACCAAAACTAATACACCCAGGATTTTTCATCGCCATGTGTGAGGTCCACGACCGAGGAAAAAGTTCTGAATGTAGATGGATCAGAAAATTACCAACTGCATCTTCAGCTTAGGCCCTCCTTCATTGAAGCAGATCGGTGGAGTGTCCACATGACTCAGACACAGTCCAGCCTTCCTAAATGATTAGGTTATTTAAATGTATTAATTTAGGTTATTTATTTAATTTTTTTAACCATAGATTTATGATCAACATTATTTTAATATCTATATAACTTTTTATATTACAATTCTCATTTTAGCTCTTATTATTTTATATTTTAACATTAATTTAACCTTTTTCCAGTGTTTCCTCTGTGGGGGCCCTACGCCCCGGGGGCGGTGGTTGGCTGTGGCGGCCTGGGTGCTTTCCCGGTGTGCCTGGGTGGAGGTGGGGATCTCCGCCCTCCCTGCCCTGGGCACACCCTGTGTCGGTGCCTCGGCTGCTGCTGTGGATCTGCTGCTGTCGGGGCGGATGACTCCCCTGATGGTGTTTCCTTATCTTAGCTGGTTTGGCTCATCTAAACTCAGCCCATCGTGTTTTTTCTCTCTCTCTGTGTGTGTGTGTGTGTGTGTGTGTGTGTGTGTGTGTGTGTGTGTGTGTGTGTGTGTGTGTGTCAGAGGATGAGTGTTGTGAAGGAGTTTTTATTGTCAGACTGTTTTTAAAATTCTGGGGATGGGAGGGCATGTGGGCATGCGGGGCCTTTTTTGATTTGTTAAGCACTTTGAGTTGCATGCATTGCATGATTAAGTGCTATATAAATAAAGTTTGATTTGATTCTAAGACATGAAAGTTGAAGAAGCTTCAATGTGAAAAGAGCCTAAACACAGAGGGAAACACTCCATATGTCCGATGACTGGACTCATTTCATAACTACCGCTGCGATCACATCTCACGTAGGTTTTAGTAATTGCATAACGTGTGTATTGTATAATGTCCCAGGCCATTTCTACAATCACACGCTTACGCACATAAACGCACATTTACTCAGACGGAGAAAGAAGGTGAGTCACGCCGACCGCCATGGGAGCTAAAAGCATCAATGTCTGGCATCTTCCCAGTTTCTGCCGGGTCACACAACCTACACACGCCCACCTGCTGTTAAGGTTTAAAGAAGCAGAAATCAGAGAGCGACATGAAAGACTAATGAGTGAAAACTCTCTGGATCCAATCATGAAGACCACTTAGCTTACGTTTCTCCATCACACATCCACATCAATGGTTACACAGAATGTACACATTTTATTTATTTTATAGGACAACAAAATCAAAACTCATTATTTGCAAATGCTGTGAATCCTGTCAAATGTGAATAAATGAGTATAATAGGCGTTCTCTTAGAATAGAAACCATTAGCTCCAGAATAAACAAGTCTCCTCTAAACGTGGGTTTACAGACTTCTATCTGGCTGATGGTTGTAACGCCAGTGTCTTTAGACCTGGACTGACAGGGTTCGGCTTTGGGAGTTTTCCTTCACAGAAATTAAAATAATCTTTTTTCCAGTAATAAAATTTAGTGACAGGCGTTATTGTGGAAAAGAAATCATGCTTTAAGGGAGCACTTAAGCTCATTGAGAGCAGAGAAACGGCACCTTTCAGTTTGCAACTAAAGCTAATCACTCATTAAAATAAATCAGGTGTGATGGAGCAGGGAAACAGCTAATAGCTGTTGGATGGTGGCCAGGACTGGAGGAGGTATTTTTATCAATACAAACATTTTAGGGGGGGGGGGGGGGGG